TTCAAAATTTTCGAATTTTTTTTTTCAAATATTATTTTCGGAATTTATATTTTCCAAAAAAAAATACCAAAAAATAATAAAAATAAATAAATAACAATACATTTTTTTACATATTCTAGTAGAATATTAGAATATTCTACATATCTGACAAATCTAGTAGAATATTCTAACATTTTAAAAATCACATTATAATATTTACAGTGTAATATTCTATTAGAATATTTCACGTATTTAAAAAAAATGGTAATTTTATTTATTTATTTATTTATTATTATTATTTTTAGATAATTAATGTGACGAAAATAATATTTAAAAAAAGAATTTTCGGATTTTTTCCTTTTATTTTGTAATTTAAAATTATTTTTAGATTTGGTCTCATGGTCTCACAAAATTAGCATGGTCTCAAATGTACCTGGCTATTATATATATATATATACTATATATATATATATATATATATATATATATATATATATATATATATATATATATATATATATACTAAAAATGATAATGTGGACCATGTGTAAAAGAAATTAAAATTTAAGAGGAGGTTGAAGGGGGACAAATTTGAAGGACCAAAAATGTAATTTTAGGTTTCAGAATTAAAAAAATGTATGAAATGAATAAAAATATAAATTAAAGTTGGACACGTGTCCTTTTGGAAAGAAAACAATGGTTTTTATATATATATATATATATATATATATATATATATATATATATATATATAGAGGATAGTTCAAATAAAAACTGTAAATAGTATGAAAATGTAAAAACACTACTTTTATGTTATTATTCTGTATTGAATTTTGGACGCAAAACTTTATGTCATTATTCGACAATGAATAAATGAATAGTCAAATGAAAGTAGTGTTTTTAAGTTTTCATTTATTCATTGTTGAATAATGATATAAAGTTGTGCGTCCAAAATTAATTGCAAAATAATAACATAAAAGTAGTGTTTTTACGTTTTCATACTATTTATAGTTTTTAGTTTGAACTATCCCCTATATGTGATAGTTCAAATAAAAACTATAAATAGTGTGAAAACATAAAAACACTAATTTTATGTTATTATTCTGCAATGAATTTTGGATGTACAACTTTATGTCATTATTTATCAATGAATAAATGAATACTCACATGTTAAAAATAAAATTAAAATTTACTACAAAAATACATATACATAAATTTATAATAGAAGAATAAAATTTTAATGAATATATGAATAATCAAATGTTAATATTCATATTAGAATTACTTCAACAATAACATATAAAACATTAATTGCAGAATAATAACATAAACATAATGTTTTTTTTACTTTTTCACACTATTTACTGTTTTTATAGTAAACTATCCATTAAGTGTTTATTAAACATAATATATAATTTATAAAACATTTGAGTTGTTAATCAGTATTAAAAAGACTTTTGAGTGATATTATTTAAAAGACTAGGTAAATGCCCGCGCGATGCGCATAAACACCTTTATAGTTGAAGTTTTTACAAATATGTGTTTTTTTTAAATATAACAATAACGTTGTTGTTAAATTTGATATAATAATTTATATACTAAATTGATATAATATATTGATTATTTTCATTATATGATAATATATACATCTATTATAACGACATAATCTCAATCGTTTGAATGAGTTATACTCGCGAGTTACACATAAATAAAATTAAATATAATATATGGTTTAATGTTATTTATAGTTATTGTTATTATTATTTATTTTTTTAAAATTTATTTGTTTAATATTTTAATTTCTATCATTATAATTATTTACAACATCAAACATTGTTTTTTGATTTTGAAGGTAACAATATAATCATTTATATAAAATTATTTTTAACTATTGTTATTGTAAGTTATTTTAAGCTACTTATTTGAAACTTTTAATGATTATAAAAATATCTTTATGAAATATTTTAGTTAAATTGAGATTACAATTTAGTTTTTACATTTATCACTACAATTTATCACTTTTAACTATTTACAAAATATTCTTTGGTTTTTTAAGTGGAACTAAAATTTATATTTAAGTTGACACTGTAATGTTATATTTAAATTAAAAAATTAAGTATTTTGTCCAAATTGTTCAAAAGTTGTAGCTTTAAACTGATAATGGTTTACATACAACAACATTTTAAATCTAATAAATTAAGTATAATATGTTAAAAGTTAAAGACATAAATTTATAAGTAGAAGTAAAGATATTATTTTAAAATTGAAATTTAGTTTATTTATGATTACACTTTAGGTTTGATATTTATTTAACCTTATTAACCAACTTATAATCATTATAAGAAAGACACTACAATTTATCACTTTTAACGATTTACAAAATATTTTTTGGGTTGTTTAACTTAAACTAAAATTTATATTTAAGTTGACCCTGTAATTTTATATTTAAATTAATAATTTAAGTATTTTATACAAATTGTTCCAAAATTGTATCGTTAAAATGATAATTGTTTACATTCAACAATATATTAAACCTAATAAATTAAGTATAATATGTTCAAAGTTAAAAACATATCTTTATAAGTAGAAGTAAAGATATTATACTAATATTGAAATTTAATTTATATATGATTACACTTTAGGTTTGATACTTATTTAACCTTATTAACCAACTTATAATTATTATTAGAAAGAAATTGAAAAATCATGGGAGTTTCAAATGAATGTGGTGAAAAGAAAAATACATGAGAGTTTTAAATGAATGTGGTGAAAGGAAAAATGCTTCCTTTATAAGTATACTAGACAAATTCTCGCGCGTTGCGCGACGCAAGTTAAAAATATATTGTTAGAATATATAGTTTTCAGACACCTTTTAGTTAATTCGATTCATCAATTTAGGTTCTTTTATTATTATTATATTTAATATTTTCCTTTTAACTATGTTAAAAAATATATATTGAATTTTTTTTATACATTATTTGATATTTTACTTTAAGTTTTAAATTTTACACTAAATTTTTAAACTTATTTGATATATTAATGTAGGTTATTTATTTAACTATATATTGAAGTTAACAAATTAAGTATATCATATTGATAAGTCACAAATTCTTCCATTTATGATAATGTTTACAACTAAAAGCATATTTAAGTTAATAAATTAAGCATATTGTATGGAAATATGAAAAGTTGGGAGTTTCAAATGAATGTGGTGAAAGAAAAAATGTTTCCTTTATAATATAGTATGATATGATGATTATAGTTTTAATTTTTAAGTCATTGTGTTATATACAATTATTTGATAATTTTATAAAGCGTTTAAAATTGTGTAAATTATATATCAAACGTATGATAATTTATATATAACGGGTAACAAAATATATGAACAAAAATATGAACTACAACTTTTAGTAACATAAAAATACAAAACATCTATTATAACATTTGTATTAATATATATATATATATATATATATATATATATATATATATATAATATAACGAATAATAAAAAATATGAAAAATAAACACCACAACTTTTAATAACATAAAAACACTAAAACATTTATTATAACATTTATATTAACTTTTCATATTTAAATCACAAATATCTTCAAATACATTAATGTTTTTAATGAGCAAAACTTTACAACCTTATAAAAGAAAGGAAAATAAAAAGTTATTAGTGATTACGAATTAATAATCATAAGGTAAAAACTCTTGAGTTGTAACTAATAAATATACATAAATTAGAAAACTCTTGAGTTGTAGTGTGAGTTTCAAATGAATACGGTACTTGGAAATGTGTATTTATTATTATTATTATTATTATTATTATTATTATTATTATTATTATTATTATTATTATCAGAGACAAAACTTGAAAAATGGTCCCTGTGGTTTTTGAAAATATCAAGTTTGGTCCCTAATTTACAAAAACCTCACGGATCGTCCCTGTGGTTTCAAAACTTTTAACATTTGGTCCTTTCGGTTAACTCCGTTACCGTTTAGCCGTTAAGTCAGGGGCATTTTTGTCATTTCACTACACAGGGACCATTTTTAAGGTATTCAATTACTTTTTTTTTAAAATAAATAAATAAATAATATTTAATATGCAAGGTCTCTCTCTCTGCCAAAATAATAAAGGACCATATTAACCCACCTCCACTGCCATCAACATTGCAGTCTTCCCCTTCCTTCTCGTCGTGAACCGCCAGATGCCAAAATAACCGGGCAACAGAGCTGCCACCCACCATTAGCAAAACCCACTTCACCACCCCCACCGCAGTGACTGTTGGAACACCCCTACTCTGACCATCTACCATCTGACATCGTCCATCGCTCTTCCCTCTCGTCATCCCCGCTGAGTAGAAGCAAGAAGGAAGCAAGAAAGGCAACCAGGGCAACCTCCGGCCACCACTACAGCCACCATCTACTACTGCCACCATGATTCCAGCTGCCACCACCACCTTCTACTGCTTCAATCGATTTACAATGCAAAATTACCTTTTTTGGAAGGATCTTGGGAGGATTGGTAGAGGACTAAGAAGCACAAGAATGTGAAGAGTGGGATCAGGTGAAGGGAATGATAATGGATAAGCAGAGCACCTACGATTCCTCATGCCTGTATCCAAGTCTCTTACAATTTTCCCTTATTTTAATTCCAACTCCTTAATTTCTTATTCCCATCTCTATACATGTTCATCTATTTGCTGAATTGGATGTCTCTAGACAGAAAATTGGAATTGTATGCTTCCAATGGTGATAACTCTTACTAAATAAATCAGAAAATGAAGGAGGAGAACAATGCACTCCAGGTGCTCGATGAAACACCTGAAAGAAATGTTCCTTCACAAAACTGAAAGTGTATAATTTCACACCTGGAGAAGAAGATTGGCTCTCAATTCGAATAGGCCACACTCGATGAGGTGTTTGGGTTACAACAACAGCAACACCACCCTTGGGGGTGGTGGTGTTTCTCGGTAGTGAAGGAAAAGGGGAAGGGCAGTAGAAAAACGTGAATGGAAGGCAGTAAGTGGTGGTATTTGAGGGTGGGTTTGAGTGATCAAACGGGATGGAAGATGGGTGGCTGGGTTGTGGTTTCCGGTGGGGAAGGAGGTGATGGCAGTGGTGGTTTTATGGCGGAAGGTGGTGCTACCGTGTGGAATCGTAAGTGAGAGAGAGAGAGAGGGTGGGACCCCTTGCATATTAAATATTATTTATTTATTTTTAAAAAAAAGTTATTGAATACCTCATAAATGGTCCCTGTGTAGTGAAATGACAAAAATGCCCCTGACTTAACGGCTAAATGGTAACGGAGTTAGCCGAAAGGACCAAATGTTAAAAGTTTTGAAACCACAGGGACGATCCGTGAGATTTTTGTAAGTTAGGGACCAAACTTGATATTTTCGAAAACCTCAGGGACTATTTTTTGAAGTTTTGTCTTATTATTATTATTATTATTGTTATTATTATTATTATATTCGTCTAAATAATTGGTTTTGATGCATCATTTTAATCCCTTCAATTATTAAATATAAAGATATTTAATTATAAATTTATAACATACATAAGTGCATATATATGTTAAACAAATCATATATAATATATATTTTCGTAAATGTCATATGTACTTCTTGTCGTAGTAATATGAATAAATTACTTTCATATGAAGAACATATCATGATAAGTCATCATAATTACATATCAAATGTTAAAAATTATGTTATCTTTTAAATATTGTCTTGTAAATATGTTGTGTATGATAAGCCAACAAAAAAATAATAGAAAATAAACATAATCAAAATAGAAAAACTACAATAAAATAAAATAAGAACATTGGGTGGTTGAATATATAAATAAAAATGTTACATAAATATACGTTTAAATCAAAAGAAAAAAACTAACATTCGTCTACTTTGCTCAAACAAAAAAAACATATATCCGTTTTCTGAATTTTCTTTCTTTATTCAAAACCATTCAACCATAGAAACTTGATGACGATTCTTCACTAACCAGCAATCAAAATGTTTTTCTTGAAAAAGAAGAATGAAAAAGATATTCCAAACAAAACATTGATGTTTGGAGAGTCACATTCAAGATTGAGTAGTACATAAAAATCACATAAAAAGATCAAATGAGAAATTGAATATAAAGAAAGAATAGAAAAGCTTCATTTGTTTTGGTTGAAAGAAAAAATCATATTACAATTACCATCGATGCGACATAGTCCATTTCTTCAAATCATCATATTTGGATCGTGAATGCTTCAACTATATGAAAAATTTTAAAGCATAATATCTTCAACCAAATGACGACTTTTTGTAAGAAAAATATACTAATATAACTACATATATAATGAAGGTGAAAGGGTGTGGCGGTTTCAAATGCATGATGTGTTGAACTTATAGAGCGTGTGATTTTCTTAGAATGAGATTATGTGTGATTAATTACTTTCAAGGTGAAAGGGTGTGGGGGTTTCAAATGCATGAGGTGTTGGTAAATTTTTATGGGGGTTTCAAATGCATGAGATTCAAGTAAAAATGCTAGCTTTATAAGTATGTATGATATAGATGAGGTTTCAAATGAATATTGTTTGAACAAAAACTCCTCTATAATTAAATACTAGGGGAATGCCCAGGCATTGCATCAAAATAAAATTATGGTTAATATATATATATATATATATATATATATATATATATATATATATATATATATATATATATTAAAAAATAAACAATTTTATCGCTAGTAACTATGATAATTATTCGTATACTAACATAAAAAGTTTATACAAATTAGATATTAATTTAGAGCGTATAATAAAAGATATATCTATTATTAGAAGGCTAATAGTAGAAATTTAAAGTATTTATATCTACGAAATAGTCTATACCCGAAGGTTGCACGATAATGTTTTTAAAACTGTTATTTTAATTATTTCCAATTTTTATAATGATGAGTTTTTTGAAACGATTATTTTCAATATAATGTAATTTTTAATTTTATATAGTTTATAGTTAAAGTTAAATTTTGATTTAATATTTTCTTTAAGTATTTGTATTTTTATTTACGTTAAAAATTACCTTTTGAATAAAAATCTATTTATGGTAGAAAAGAGTCTCAAGATATTTTAGTAATTTATTTGACATTTAACATCATATTTAAATTAAAAAATTAATTACGATAGGTTGGAAATTAAAATTTTAGTATTACCATTAAATTAATAAAGAAGTTGAATATCTTTATAAAATAAATAATGGTTGAAGTATAATATTTATATTCAACCACATGAAAAAGAAGATCACAATAATATGAGGTATACAAATAATTTTTATTAAGAAATAATACAAAATGTAAATAACTATGTTTAGTTATATTTTTTTAGTAGGCTAATTGATTAAATATTAATAATTAACATGTTACCTCATAAAGTAAAATAAATTAAACCTTTAATATCACAAAAACCTTATATAAATAAAAATAAGTTTATGAAAAATAATATAGTTTCAATCAGTTTATAAATGATTAACATTATATCTTTAAAGAAAAAAAACTAAACGGTGGTATATATATATATATATATATATATATATATATATATATATATATATATATGTTATATAGTGTATGAATCACTTAAAATATTATTAACTTTTTATATAACAAATAATGATATTTAATAAAATCTATGTATTTGTTTCTTTGCTTTGTTTAGTATGTTTGTTGTTAAACATAAATAAAAAAGAACTCAAAGGTTTTACATTAATTTGTGGAAGATAATGAATAAAAATATCAAATTATTATGGTAACATATAATTATTTAATTTAAATCATAGTACTTAGATGATCTTTTTTATTAGATATAGAAGTATAAATAAGTTAAAATAACATTAAGACTAACTCACACCAAATTTAACATCATATTTAATTGGATAATTAAGTATTGTTAGTTACAAACCTTTCGCATTGTACTATTTAATAGATAAGTTTGAAAAGTCATTATAGTTTCTAATGAATAAGGTTCAAGAATGAAGAAGGTTCAAGATATGAATTTATCTTGAAATATATATATATATATATATATATATATATATATATATATATAGATTCTAGATCAAATAAGAAGTGAATTATTTGTAGGAAGGTAGGAAGACATATATATGGAAGTTATCCTACAACTAAGTAATGAAATATGATAAATACGTTACAACTTGCAACAAATAATAACTTTCATTTAAATGATGAATTAAGATAAGATAAATACGTTAAAACTTATCTCTTTGTTATCCCTAATATGATCACATGTCTTTATGTCTTCCATGCCCTAATTTCCGCCCAAAAACAAAGTCGACATCGGTGATTGATAAAGAAAAATCACTAGTTTAATTGAAAACAATCAAATTGAAGATCATGCTCTACGATATTGAATTTCTACTCTCATGGTTTATACCAAACTTCAATATTCCTCTACGAATCCGGTTATACACAACCATAATTTTCGCCCAAAAAAATCATTCATATTTGCAAATTGAAAAAGAAGAATCGATGGTTTATTATTGGAGATTGGATACCATTAAATTGGAGATATTGTACTATGGATTTTTCCGTTATGATGCTTTTACAAAGATTGAATGGCGGTAAAGCTATATAAAGATTGGATGGTGGAAGGCTTCATACCAAAATTCAGCAATCAGATACAATTTCCTGTGGGTTTTGAGCTGGTGTTAGAATTTTTTTGACTAATGGAGTATCCTGGTGAAGCACAACCTCATACAAACTCGATGGGTAAGTACTATTTGATAATCTTATTAGTATTCACTTGTTGTGAACAGGACATCAGTGATTGACATTATTTATGCAAGTTATATACATTTGTTCTTAATGATAGTAGTGGTTAAGTGTTTAAGTGAATCAAGTGTTTTTTATTACTGTATATGATGTGAATTTAGAGTCCTGGTAATAAAACCTAGGTAGCAAAGTGATTATGTTAGTAGAAATGATTCTGGTTACCAATGCTTATCTGTCAAATGAATCCGGTTAAACAGGTTTTTGGTATTAGGACTGTATAAGTTATATTGATAGATCTTTAACTGATTCAAAATACTGTAACATATATTCAGTTTTTTGTCTTTAATTTTGCATTAATAATCGTTTAAGTGATTTATTTTTATATATTTGGTTCTAAAGTGATTACATCAGATACTTATTCTCGAAAGCGTCCAAGTGATGATGATGACGATTTTGTAAACCCGCCACCCGTTACAATGTCGATACAAAAGATTGTGAAAAAGCAAACCAAAATAGAAAAGCCAAGAAACATGGAAGATTCATTAAGATGTTTGAATACCAGGTTCCCTCCGGAACACATAACCAAAACCATAGCCTTGCTGAACGAAGATCAACAAAGATGTGTACAATCTATTGGATTTGGATTAACTCTAAATATGCAGTTAGGAAAGCTACCTCGTAGGATATGTTACTGGGTCATTGACAACTACAACCCAACTAGCAATTCCATTCATGTACAAGACCAAAGACTTTTAGTGACAAGGGAAAGAGTACATGAGATATATGGGATTCCAATGGGTGACATACCAATGTCTAACCCTTGCAAAGCAAATTCTGAAAATAAGGTTGTCAAACTTTGGAAATCCCAATTTCCAAAAACAATAAAATGAATACGTCTAACACATGTTATTGACATGATAGTAAAGGATACAAATGCTGGTCCATTTTTTATCATGAATTTTCTTGTTTTGTTTGTATCGGTGATGATTGAGTACTCAACAATGGGGACTGTCAATCAAGGGTTCTTGGAAAACATTTCGGGTGATATGGGTATCAAACAACTAGATTGGTGCGGATTTGTTGTATCATGCTTGAAATCAAGCCGAATGATGTGGAAACCCTTGAACAATAAGTGCGTTTACACCGGTCCCATTGTATTTCTTCTGGTAAACAAATTTCCTGAAAATCAAAACATTATTGAAGATGCTTATATATATTATATATTCTTCATCAACATATTCTTTGCAGCTGTTTTACCTTAATTTTACAAAAGTTGAGGATGGCACAATTCAAAGTCCAACTGTTGGAATGATTCACTGGACAATAGACATGTTGAAAAGGAGGGAATTAGAAGAGCTATCTAAAGGAGGTTTCGGAAATGTAACCATATCATTACAACACATGCACATGAACCGCACTGAACAAGGTATATTCGAGCATTTTCAAACTATTTTTTGTGGTATCAAACACATAAAATGTACAAAATATTAATTCACAGACGATAATTACAAAACAGAAGATGCGGAGGATGATGATGTTGTTGGATCTGAAAGAGATTGCATATCTCCTGATGGATTTATTGGAAATGTAGTTCAAGAAACATCAGAAAATGATGCAGACAACAACTTGAAGGTAAAAAACATTCTTTTTATAATTACTGATTCACGTGCTTCATTTATAAACTGATTCAAGTTATGATGCCATTTTGTTTATCAATAACATTAAACATGGTAAACATTGTGATTATAGTGCTTCATTTATAAACTGACTCACATAAATTTTATTTTATGTTCTTTAATTTTTAAGCTATTTCACCTAATTGGTGATTCAAGTGCTTCACTTTTTGTGACACTTGTGAAAATTATGCTTTTTAGTGATTCATTATAAAACCAAAATGAATCAAGTGCTTCATCACATTTTGTTTTACTGGTGCAAGTGCTTTTTAGTGAAAATTATTCCATTTGTGTTTACTGATTCAAGTGCTTCACTTTTTGTGACACTTGTGAAAAATATGCTTTGCAGTGATTCATTATAAAACCAAAATGAATCAAGTGCTTCATCACATCTGTTTTACTGATTCCAGTTCATATATTGTCACCATATTACTTTTATAACATTCTACTTATGTTATGCTTATTCCCAAGAAATTATGAGGGAAATAAACTTCAACTTCAATGCATATCACAATGCAAAGAGAGCTATAGATAAGTTGTTGATGCGAGGTATAAAGAAGTTTCCCGATTCTGTCGAACTGCGCATGCTAGTAACAAAAAGAAATCACGAATTCAATCTGGCATGGCCAGATTTTTCAACTTCCGATGATTCTGATGATGGGACAACTTCCAATGGCACCACCACACCTGTTATGCATTATCAACAAAATACAACCGCAACTAAAAATGATCAATTTCAGGAATCAACAATGGTGGATGATGATGATGCAGTTGCGGATGTGGTGTGTACACCATTTACTCAAATTCTAAACGAAGATACTTTTGACATGCTGTTGGAATCAGCATTAGCTACCTCTATTAGGCATTCAAGTCATGAAAGTCTCACTAATTCGGATCATCGAGAACCAAATATAAAAAATGATGATGTAAACACTGTTCCTGTTACTATTGTGGCACCAAGACGGTCGAGAAGATTGGTTCAACTAACCGACAAACTTAGATCACCTCATTATAGGAGGACCGTTGATCCAAACCAACCGATTAGATCAATTGAGGAGAGAGTGTCAGGTTGGATTTTCGCAGGGCTGGAAGATGAATGGTACATTTTCTAAATTAATGTAGAGGGCCGTTGATCCAAACGTGTATGTAACCCTTTAAAAAAACAATAAGCATCAAGTATAATTGAACACAACCCTAGGCTCTGATACCACTGATGGGTTTTGAGCATTCTAACACCCCTAAGGTGTGCATGCAACCCTAAATACCTTGGATTTATGTTTTCTCTATTATACATGCAAACTTGAACTTTCCAAGGTATTACCCTAACTAGCATACAAAACATTGATACTTGGGTAATAAAACAAGTTAGAAGACATACCTTTTGTTGTAGTTGGAAGCCTTGGACCTTTAAGAACTTAGTGCCCCAAGTGTTGCACCTCAAATGGAATCAGACAATACCACCAACAATTGGAATAACTTGAGAGAAGAACACTTGCACTCATAAAATCGACTTGCCATCTTGTGTTTTCACTAGTCACCACTTAAGTGTCAATTTCATGAGCCTTGGGGTTTCTTATATAGTGTGCGCATTAGGATTACACCATGTAACTCATGACTTTCCATATTCCTCATGATCCATGGGTTTTAACCTCCATGGAGTATCCATGGGTCACCACATGGGTTTAGCCCAACATGAAGAACTATGGATCATAAGCCCACTTTATAAGAATGAATGATTTACCAAATCAATCCCCATTTATTTAATTAGTCTCTTTTGATCACAAAATTAATTCCAAACTAATTCTTGATCAATACTAATTAAATAATATGATTTCATATTAATATATTAGAACTTATAATATATTAATAAATCATAAATATCCTCTTCTCACAAAAGTCTATCCAAATTGTTCCAATGCCATGCAACCCAAATGAACCATGCTACTCTCGGGTCAAGTACATACCAATAATAGTTATGGGCTTAGACACCTAATCCAACACATTCTTCCATGCCAAACAACCCACGAGCATCAGCAACACACATGATGGAGCACCTTGTCCCGTAGTGGAGCATCATGATGTACAAGTGACACATCATGAACACTAATGGCCCAACATCCATCATGGTGGCACAACATGGTGTAATCCTTAAGAAATACCAGCTTCAAATCATCCTTGAACGATCTTGAGACTCATTGAGGACTTCATAGCATACTTGGCTCATCAGGGATACCACGACTCATCAAGGAACCAAAATGGCCCATATTGCACCTTGATGGCGCAACATGTGCAAGAATGGCACAATATGCATCAAGAGTGGCACAATAACTTCAAGGTTGGAGCAACATCATCACCTTGGCGCAACAAGGACCATCTTTGCGCAACAAGGACATGATTGGCGCAACAAGAACCTACTTGGCGTAACAAGGCTTCTTCATGGCGCAAGAGGGACTCTGCATGGTGCAAGAGGGATATGCTTGGCGCAAGAAGGAATGCCCTTGGCGCTACATCATCCTTCTTGGCCGAAGACTTCAGCAGATGACGCAACTAGGTCCCCTTGTTGCTCCATATCATCCCAAGTGCTCCAAACCTCTTCCAGGTGGTCCAAACCCCCTTCTGTATGATCCATTCCTTTGGCACTTGATTTGTTCCTTTTTTAGACGACCCATTTTTTTATCAGATGATCCGTTCCTTTGTCACATGATCCATGAACCCGATCCAAATGCTTGAGTCACATTTAACAATATCTACCTTGACTTGAGCGTCTTATGAAGTCCACCTAAAATAAGAACTTCCTCTCCCATCCTGCCATCAAGCGCCAAGGGGGCTTACCTCCTGCGAACATCCACCACGTCCAAGCAAAGCTTGAACTTCTCTTTGGGCAAGGACCTTGTCACCATGTCCTCCGGATTCACCTTGGTACTAGACTTTCGAATGTATAACCTGTCATAGAACATGATAGGTTTCTACACCTTCAAAAGAATACTCTGAAAAAGACCAACCACCAGTGATATTCTTATCTCCAAATCACTTTCATGGTCCAAGTCTATCAATCCAACAAAGTCCATAGTTGTGTATTTGCATTATACACCATAAAAACATCAAGCGTTCCCTTTAAGTGTCACAAGATCCACTTGACCACTTCCTAATGAGATTTTCCACAATTACTTCTAACCGTCAAATAAGTACCAACATGTTTGGACTAATCACGATAAAACGACCATAAGACTTTCTCAATGTAGTCAGAAATATGTAACCATCCCGCTCTTCTATCACCCCGAGTCTCCATCCTTGTTATCTTCTTTTCAACTCCTAAATCGTTCATCACAAGCTCATTCTCCAGAAGCTTGTTCAAGTTGACTTTACCGACATCAGCAAAACTAGACACTTCTTCCCTGGGTTAAACAAGGGATTCCTCACGTCTATGCTGTTCCATGCCACCCTGCCGTTCCTCATTTATCACAAAACTGTGTGGGGTTTCTGTTTCAAACTCCAGCTTCTGGCTAGCATCCTATTTGGTTACACATATCAGATTCAAAGGTCACATCTCTTCTAATAACGAATTTGGAGTTTGTTCTTCTGTACACCACATACGATGACCTTTCCTTCCAGATGCATATCCTAGAAATATGCACTTCATCTCTCTACACTCCAGTTTACCATCATTCACACGAGCATAAGCAGAGCATCCAAACATTCGTAAACCAGTGTTCTCAGAGGGTTTCCCATACCACACCTCTTGACGAGTCTTACAATCAATTTCAGTTGATGGAGATCTATTCGCCAAATAGCAAGCAATATTAACTACTTCCACGCAAAATTGCTATGATAAATCAGCAGATAATCGCATGCACTGAGCATGCTCTACTAGTGTTCGGTTCATTTGTTTTGCCAGCCCGCTTTGCTGTGGTGTTAGCCGTACAGTGTGATGCCCCACCGTACCTTCTATTTTGCAGAAGTTGTCAAGCGAAGCCTTGCAGGATTCCAACCCATTTTTTTCAGAGTGACCTGACATGGTTCCTGGTCCAGTTCTCAACCATCATCTTCCAATCCTTAAACCGCCCAAACACTTCATCTTCATCCTTTGTCTTCAAAAAATACACCCAGGTCTTCCTTGAGTAATCTTCGATAAAAGTCACAAAGTATTGACATCCACCATGAGACTTAACATAAGAGGGACCTCATAGATTTGAGTGTATACACACAAGAATCTTATTGCTTGAGTGTTGAACTGAACTGAATTTCACCATGCTTTGTATCTCTTGAACACAAGCTTCACTAGGTTAAGCTTTTCCAGTTGCATCTCCACCAAACAACTCCTTCTTGCACACATGTACTAAAGTATGATGCCACAACTTTCTTTCATCATCATACTAATATAAGGATTGGGATATAGTCACCGTTCCCCCAATCGTAAAACCATCTAGAATATAAATCCCATGAGGATTCATCATTCCCTTCATAAGTACAAGAGCACCCTTGGAGAATCTTAACCAGTCACCCTCTCCAGAATATTTCAATCCATCCTTTGCCAAAGTGGCAAGAGAAATCAAATTTTTTCGAAGCTCTGGGACGAACCAACAATCCAGTTTCCTGACCATACCATTATGCATCTTGATCTGCACCGTGCCACCGCCCTTGATACTGCTCACCCAATCATCACCCATCTTGACTGTGCCATTCCACCATTTGAAGGAGTCGAACCAGTCGCGATTGCATGCCATATGACATGATGCTCTAGAGTCCAAGACCCAAGTATTAGCAGAACTAGATGTACAAACTGTCAAAACTTCACCATCATCCCATTCATCAGAATTTCCTTGAACCACAACAACATTGTTGTTGCTTGGTCCAACATCATTATTCCCTTCTTCAGCAATGGATAATCTCTCCTGAAGTGCCCTTTTCCTTGCAGTTATAACATTTGATGTTGGGTTTAGATTCAGAACTTGACTTCCTTTTGAAATCTCCACCTCTATCCGATGTTCTTCCTCTGCATACGAACAAATTGGAACTGGAAATTTCTTCTCTAACTGAAACTATTCTTTTCAGTTTCTTGGGCATCAAAGAATCCTTCACATCATTCACAGTGATCATTGTCCTACCATACAACATGGTATCAATGAACTTCTCGTAAGAATTCGGCAGTGAACATAACAGGATAAGTACTTGATCTTCATATTCAATCTTTACATTCACACCTTGTATGTCCAAGACGATCCTATTGAAGTTGTCCAGATGATCCTTCACTTAGGTGCTTTCCGAAATCCTAAGAGTATACAAACGTTGCTTCTGGTATAGCCTGTTCGTCAGATAATTATTCTAATACTTCTCACAAAATTTCTCCCAAAGTCCATCAACACTCGTTTGATCCACGACCTCTCTCAGTAGTTCGTCTTTCAAACTCAATAAAATAGCGCTATGCGCTCTTTCAAGAATATCCACCTTCCTTTATGTCCATTGACAGTTTTGCTTCTCCTTCCAGTGCTGCTGCACATCCTTGTTGAACTAGAAGAGCCTTCATCTTCTCCTTCCACAAAGTGAAATCATTCGAACCATTGAAGTTCTCCAAATCGAACTTGTAATATGCCATCTTCAATCAACAGAACGCCAACCGCAGCTCTGATACCACTTGTTAGGGAAAACATGCAATACTTGTCAAGACTCAGAACAAATCTGATGCCACTTGCCAACATATGATGACCCTTGTTAGGAAGTAATGTGGATAACAAGCGAAACTATAAGCACACAAAGACACAATATTTACGTGGTTCAGTCAAGGTGACCTACGTCCACGGGCAGGAGGGGAGTATTCTTTATTTCATCAGATGGTGCAACAAGGTCCCCTTGTTGCTCCATATCATCCCAAGTGCTCCAAACCTCTTCCAGGTACTCCAAACCCCCTTCTATATGATCCGTTCCTTTGTCATACGATCCATTCATTTCTCTGATGATCCGTTCCTTTGTCACATGCTCCATGAACCCGATCCAAATGCTCGAGTCACATTTAACAACTATAATATTCAATTATTTTAAAATTTTCAAATGCTCCGAACATTGTGAGAAAAAGGACTAGAATTTTGTGTGTGACTAAAGTTGTTTTACAACTATC